CCAAATTCAACCAAATTTTAATCAGTTCTTCCTTAGCCGATGGGAAATGCACTCACAAAAATTTCGTACGGACATGTTTCGTATTTCTTGAGTTATCCTGCTCACAGACAAACACACACACACACACATACACACACATACAAACCCAGATGATTACATAACCTCCTGGCGGAGGTAATTATTGGATGGAAAAACTGTCAGTACACCTATGTCACCAGCCACCACCACCAAGTATTTTTTCACCTCCTTCATTTGCTTCACTTCAAGACAGCCCACTATTGAGATTTCCTTGGTCGCCAGTCCCTCAAAAGAGAATGAAGCTCTCCAATGCAGCAAGAAGCCTGACTTCCCCTTATGCACAGCTGTATGTCCCGCCTTCCTCAAAAGGAAATTTCAAATATATTTTGTACAAGAATAGAAAACAAAATTGATCACCCAACTGAAATAATTCCAGAGAAAAACAAGCAGGAGGGGGGAAATTTTGGCCATTTTGACACAACAAAGTCAACTTAGAGACATCGCTAAGTGAACAATCTTCTATGAAAATGCAGTCATAGAAGATCATCGCTAAGTGAATAATCAGTCATTGCTAAGTGAACAATCTTCTATGACTGCATCTAATGAGTCATCACAGCCAACAGTGAAGCCAACCTCAGATCAGATTATAACCAAGTGCAAATGATCCATGATGGTATTGTCCAGCTCAGAAATCAGTCTAATTCCGCACCAGTTTCGATGTTAAGCTGGTCAGATAGATGTTCAAACTGCATGAACTGGTTGGAAGAAATGTTAGCAATGTTCCCACATGGGAAAATTAAAGAAACTATAAACCAGTTGTATCCCTCCAACTACCGAAACACTTGAGACCTGGAAAAACTGTAGTTTCCTTTATGTGAAAAACTTGCAGCATGTCAGATAACTCTTGATGCAATACATTTCATTAGCTATAATACTAACTACAGTGCATTTCAAATATGATAAATGAACTGTAAAGCATGAACTTTAACCAAATAGTTGTTCATATGACATAGAAAAAGTTTTGTTCAAAATTTTCATTGTCATGTTTATATGACATATATAGAAACAGTTTTGTTAAAAATTTTCATTTACACTGTAGTACTTTTATTGATTTGTAGATAAATTATCTATCTTTGTAACGAACTTGCAAACAGAAGAGCTGTGGCCTCTGTGGTCTATTGTAACCTTGCATTCCCTGCCTACTGGAAAATAGCAAAATACTGATAGCAAGTTACTACAAACACCACAAGATTTACCACAGTGTTTACCCCAGTTTCCTACTTTTCAAACACTTCTATCACTCTCAATTTAGCCAAGAAAATCTTGTGTCCTGAATAGTTTATTTGTTCAATATGATGCCTTTTACTTGTTACACCAGCTATGACTTTGGTAGATCACTGATAAAATGGAAAGTTCATGTAAACTGCATCCCCAACACAAAATTTATCCAAAAAATACAGGAATCACCATTGTGTTCCACATAGTATTGTTAAAGAATGTTAGTTCCCAGCCTCCATCCTATACATATTTGCATGATAAAAGTGCAACACTTTTGGTCTCGCTTCTTCATCGACTTTATTTATTCACTAGAATTGGGGGGAAATGTAGTCATATATGAATGCACCTTTTACCTCTGAGATTGTGGGTAGAATTCTTGCTATGGACTTGCATGAAAAGAGTCAACCAACATTCTGCCAAAAGCTGTTGGTTTTCTCCAGGTGCTCTGGTTTCCTCCCACAAGGAAAGTTGACAGGGTGGGTTAGCATAAACACAGTTAATAGGCTGTCCACTGCGTCCCGATATCATTCACTTCATTTAGCATGTCTTAGATCTGAAATATTTTTATGGGAACAAACACTTTCAAGCATTTGGAGTTCAAATCAGACAAGCTCCCGCGCCGTAGAGTTTTCTCACAAACTGCTCTATTTTATCTTTGTTAATTTTACAACAAATTTTTCATTGTTCAACGACATGGATCAATGACGATACATGATTATGTCACTCAAAAGGACCAATTTCTATTAAGTAGTCTTCCTTTTCACAAAAGACTGGTTTTGCCCTAATCATTTTGAGTTATAATCTTATGTGTGTTGGATGTAAACAATATATCTTGTCTACAACTTTGAGCAAGTACAGATAACGCTTTCTAAAATCCTCAGTTCTACTGATATCTCTATAAAATTGCAAGGACGTTAATGCTAACTGTTTTGGCTATATCACTGGCCTGAAAAAAATAACTCTTAACAGTATTTAAAAGGTATTTAAAAAGAATAGTAATGTGAAGCCAATGTAACAGCAAAAACACTGCGCTAAAATGAAATATTGTCAATTGGTTCAACCTTAAATAACCTTAAACTGCAAGAATATATGTTCACATGAAAGACAAAGGTCAGTCCCACTGCTCTGTAAACTAAACATATAAAATCTGCTCTGTAAACAACGAAGTGGAGAAATATGTGCATGAGCTATTTATTTCATGATTTCAACGTATATGGAAGCCCTCTTTCCAATAATATTCGCTTATTGCATAGCATAACACCAACTGATGTAATAGTTCAAATGCAATGATAAGTCTTGGAAACTGTGTTGGAAATTTAAATGCTGATCCATTACATATAAGATTAGCGTTTTACATCTTTGCATAAAACATTTTGATTGCATGTAAGGAATTATTTCTCAGCCCAGAGACATAATAGCCCAAAGACTTAACATTAATGTCCCTCTATAGAGATAGAACTAAGGATTTTAGAAAGCATTATCTGTACCTTCTCAAAGTTGTAGACAAGCTCTGTTGTTTACGTCCAACACACTAATGATTACATAACTCAAAATAATTTGAGCAAAACCCGGTCTTATGTTGAAAGGAAGACTGGTTAATAGACGTTGGTACTTTGAGTGACATAAGTGTGTATCATCATTGATCCATGTCGTTCAACAGTGAAAAAATTTGCTGTGAAATTAGCGACGATAAAATAGCAGTTTGTCAGAAAACTGCGGGTATATGAGTGGGAACTTTTCAGATTTTCAGACAATTGTTGTTAACAGTAAAATAGTCTAGGCAAAATAAGTAATTAGGTAAGCATAATACTTGAGGTAAAGAGTATTTGATCATATCCACATGTAAATTTGTCCTGTAGAAGTGTTGATCATAATCGTGTAAAGAAATAGCACTATTGGATCATGGAAGCCTCCATCAAAAAAGAAGACACTATAATGATGAGAACGGTGTTGAATTTACTTGTTATAAAAGGGAGCAGTTAAACAAAGTCCTTCCCATCAACCATACATCTGTTTCTAATTGTATAAAAATGCTTTTCAAGAAAAAGAACCAAAATTCTCAGTAGTTAATCAGAGGAGTTCGGTAACTCTATTAAGTTAACCACTTTGTCAGATGACTTGGATGCAGTAACAAATCCGGGAAGACCTAAATGACATTCAGAACATGCTTACTGATTCTGGTATTGACGTATTGTACTAAGGGGCTGATTACATACATGGGCTGAGTTGATCTTTGAATTGCAATTACATGCACCGCTCTAACCCGGCTAGCTGAGCTGAAGTAGCTCATTAAGATTTGTAATGCTTAACAATGTAATACTTATAGTTAGAAATCGATTAAAAATGGTGTATTTGAGGACTACTCACTTATATTTGTACATATAATCGAAATTAAAACATGCATAAGTGTGGTTTTCAGCCCGCTTTGCCGAGCCAACTCGGCAAAAAGCAATTACATGCATGGGTTGTGTGGGCAATTTCTGTCCCGACAAGGCAAGCTACAGCCGCGGTCCCGACAAGGCCGGACAACTCGCTTTGCATGCAATCGAAATGTCAAAATAATAGACAATACATATAGGAAGCAGGTCAACTCGGCAAAGCGAGTCAACTCGCTTAGCCGGGACAACTCACCCATGTAATCGGCTCCTAAAAGAAACAATCAGATATATTTACAATACATTTTGTAATTTATTAGTTTATTTATGAAAAAACCTTGAATATAACCACAACAAATAAAAAAAAATTACAGAAAGTCCTGGTAGAGAGGTGATAAAAGAATATATTTGACCTCAATATATTTGATTCATAGAAACAGGCCAAAATTGTAGTGGCTACAAGAAATCAAGCGATTTTCCAGCATTGTTACTGTCTTTGGAATTTCGTTCAAGGTAAGTTTCAATTTGTTTTTCAATTCAGTTTGGAGAATGAGTGCAACTTATATGAATGTATATTCCGCTTGGGTGTTTAGGGAATCATCCTCTACAAAAATTATGAAGCGAAAACGGTGACAAACTGCATTAAATCTGGCAACTGTATTATCAAAATCTGTCAACAGTGAGAGCTACATGGCCGATGTCAAAGACAAGGCAAACATGTGTCAAGGACAAGGTGTGACAAGAGTTACTTTATCATGTATACCATATTTGAAAGTGGACTGGAACGAATTTATCCTCATGGCAACAAGGCGGAATCTTCGAAATGAGATAATTGTTTCCTCAAAGTTTTTCTTGGGGGGAGGGAATATATTTTCACTTTTTATATGTTCCTGATGATGACTGCAAGACACTCAAATTATTCAGTATCTTTTGATGCAGATCAAAGTTTAAGATCACGAATTGCCTTCATATGTTGTGAACATTTTATACTTCAATGATTTCCCAAGTCATGAAAATTTGCAAAGTGCCGGGGCATAACGACGGTAACTTTAACAGTCAATATTCCCCCGGTAGCGGGGAAATTACCAAACTTTAACATGGTCAAAATGTTAATTTGCCCGCCCTATCCCGGGGGTCCGGGGTTTCAATTGACTAGTGCATTAGAAAGTTTAATAGTAAACATACAGAAAGCATAAACATTGCGCACCTGATATCTCGGTTGTGTGGTACAAACTTTCCACACTGGTATATGCAAAATCAAATGAAATAAAGTAAATAATTTTGTGTTTTTAATTTAAATCAAGGATCACACAAGAGGTTTTTGATATTTTAGCTTTGTTTTGGATAGTTTACTATCCGTCCTCAGGCTAACAATTTGTTAGCCTGAGGACGGATAGTAAACTATCTAAACGCAGCTAAAATAAAAATATCAAAAACCTCTTGTGTGATCCTTGATTTAAATAAAAAACACAAAATTATTTAATATTAACAGAGGTGAAAGTTTCAGAAAAGCAATTAGAAATAAAGTAACCTTCTGATATATTGTGAAGTAATGAATATTGGATGTCAAATGTTTTCTATTATCCGAGTTTAGTCATCGTTCTCTATATCCAATATAAATTAATTAACCCAACAAATTTATGATCATTGAACATTTAAGTCTGTTTGTGTTAAATGTCACACCACTCACCCATTAATGAACTTATCAACTCGAACATGTTGCTAAATCATGGCGAGAAATTATGGACACGCATGCGCGTTAGGCGCTTGGACTTTAAAAATATTTGTAAACAAAATGGCGACCATAATACTATAGATTTGTATGGGAGTTGACAAAAAATTCGCCCTATATCTGCGTGTCTTAAGAAATCATAAGATGTTGCATCAGATATAGTTAGCTTTTGGTAATAATTTGTATCGTAAGCAAAAATGTTAATATGATGGTATAGAAATCTTATTCGGTATCACAATATTTATGTTCGAAGCAAGCGTAAAGTAACATATAGCGCAATAGGCAACATACCTCAAGCGGGCCACAATGAATTCTGATTTCTTACTCTTCTGAGCTACGGACGCAAAATGTTGCATCTCTTTTGGCTTGTATTGACACTGTGTTTCTGGGGACAATTCATGTCAAATCTCTGCGATTAATACCTGGTTCGGTATTTTAACATAATTTCAGTGCAATCTCGATGTATTTTAACCGTGAAATTCGACACCGCGCACTGAAACTTGCCTAAAATGTGAAGATAAACAAACCGAAATTGGTCGTTCTTCTTCGAAATATGCCTCCATTTTAGAAGCTTCTGCAGAAGAAGAGCTTTGTAACCATGCCTTATAGTTTCTAGGCAACAAAATATTATATATGCGTAAACATTGTCCGCGTATGGCTGAATTGCTGAAATATATTGAAATATTATATCACCCGCGAATTTTAATTTCGCGCAATATTCATTGCAACACGCACAGTTTATTGACATATCAATAGCAGTTATATTGATTTTTCTGTAACATATTTACGAAACGAAAGATTCTTTAAAATGTCAGACGCAACTGTTTCTTCGGAGAATGTTAAACTGCTTATAAATGGAAATCTGCCATCGAATATGTTGTCCTATGTCGCTGAACAAGCCGTATCAGGCGATCAGGTTATGTACTGCATGGCTATTCATAATAGCGTATTGTTACAGTGGTACAACTCGAAATCTAAACAGAAGTACGTAGATTTTCTCAATGAAATCATCCCCAATGGATCAATTAAAGTCAAACGCACGTCCTCAAGAATCGAAGACCGGCTAAGGTACCAATGTTCTCAAGTAAGCCAACAAATAAAGAAACTTAACTTGAAAGGTTCAAAGGCAAAACGTGTGACATTTCTCAACAATATGTCTAAAGTGAGCATTTTAGCCAGTGATGTCGCTACAGCAGCCGAAATGGAACAGGAAATCCAACGCTTCAAAATTGCACTCCAAGAGATGCATGTACGCTTGGACAATTTGAACGTCGAGTTGGAAGAATGGAAGAAGCAATTCCACAACCTGGAGAAAGAGAAAGAACTTTTATTTAATGAAATGAGAAATCAAAAAGATTTAGAAATTTCAAATGTTGTGCACGAGAATGAAGAGATGAGAAAGTATGTTAGAAAGTTAGAGAAGAAGAGTGAAGACAACTGTTCATCAGTTATCAAGAATATTGGCGACTTGTCAAAGTGGCAGCAAAAGAGGAGAATGCAAGCACTTTGCACAAGGGCGCAAAAAGCATTGTGGTTTGCAAAGCACTTTGGGCTCAAACTAGAAAGATTGGAGTTTTTAGATAGCAATGGCCAGAAATATGGTTGGAGTACTTCATCTTCCTTAGGAGCCAACATCTCCAGTTTCCCCAGAAATACTATCAACAGCAGAAATCACACATCAATATGACCAATTATCAAGTGATGGCAAATGCAAGGTAGAAGCCATTTTATTCCTGATGGACAAGTTTGCGGTGGGGGATGCCTTCATACATGAACTCTCAATGGTTGTTGAGGGTATGCCTAGGTCGTACCTAATCAAACAATGTCGAAACAAACTGAACAGTATTTGTTCTGTAAAACCAACCCCTGGAGCAGCACCTGGTGCACAATTATCATTCAGGGACTCCCTTGTTAACAAATTGAGACTTATGGTGAGTATAGGTATACTGATGTATATATTTTCTTTTCCTCTGCTCTATTATAATTTCTTTTGATACTCCTAATTACTCTTACATGTTAACTCATTTTCTTTTATTTCAAAAAATTCAGGCTGAAGATGGTAAACTAACTGCCGGCGAGAGGCTTAAAGTGAAGATAAGTGGTGATGGAGCAAGAATGACCAGATTAACAAATTATGTTATTCTGAGTTATTGTATGCTGGATGACTCAAAAGATGTTTTGGCTGCCAAAGGTATATAATATAGTTCTTGCCATCTTACCTAATTATTGCCTATTATTGAGAAAAAAAGGAAATTTAGTATGGGCACGAAAAACATCAACATATAGACTTCATTGAGAGTTTTTATCTGAAAATGTCGCACACCACAAGTCTATATACTGTATATGCAAAATAATATCTAAGAATTACCCAACCACTAAGCTAACTGGAGCCTATTTGCTTATTAAGATAAACAATCTTATTTCAACTAGGAACAAACACTATAGCAGTAATGAGTGGTGCAGAAAGCTATGAGTCACTGAAGATTAGCTTTAAAGACTGCTGGGATGAAATCAACCAAATCATTCTTGAAGGTCAAGTGGAAATCAACCCAGGGCATACTGTACCAGTTGAAATATTTCTTGGTGGTGACTATAAGGTAAAATATTTCTACTATTTACCCTCTCTAGTTTTCACATAAATATTATGTTGCTGCTGTTCCAGGTTTTTATTTGATATGGTTTTTACAGTTCCTTCTACTAATTAGTGGACGTGCAGCAGCAAATGCAAATTATGCTTGTTTGTGGTGTACAATTCACAAGGAACAAAGGTATTTTATTCTGAATTGTGGGACTTCTTACGTCGCATTGCATATAAACTAATTAACATAATAATTTACACAGTGTTTATTTACAGTAATTTTACATAGTGTTTTAAATATTTGTTTCAGATGGGACATGACAAAATCAGGGAATTATTATAACCAACCTCCCATGGCTCTGACCCTGGCTGATGTGAAGAAATATGCATCAGACAAGAACCAATTTTGTTGTAAAGATATGCCCTTGCTGAATGTTCCACTTTGCAATATTGTTCTCGATGAGCTCCACCTTCTTCTTCGAGTTACAGATATTTTGTTATCTAACTTAATAGAGGATGCTATGGAGTTAGATGACAAAAACGACTTCTTGAAGAAGAAGGGGGAGCCCAAAGGGGTCTACTTACAGAGGCTCACACAGCTCATAAATAGCTGTGGTGTAACATTTAGTGTGTGGGAGAAACGGGATGACCATGGTAAAGGGATAGGAAATATGGATTGGACGTCGTTGATGGGTGCTGAGAAGAAGAAGCTGCTACATACCCTCCCAGATAAACTACAGTCAAGCACTGAAGAAATTATTCATCTGGATACTGCAGGCACAGTCATCAAACTATGGAAGGTATGTTTATCAGATACAAGCTTTTCTTTAATTTGTCCATATGTTAGCGGGGAATCTGAGTCCCTACTCATAGGAAGCCCAAACAAACGGTTTGAAGGAACTAAAAGCCTTATTAAAACACTTGAGACATGTCTTACAATGAATTAAAGTATGCAATTAGCAATAAAATTGCTGTTAGGATCATGTATGTAGTATGCTCCAGTCGCGCTGTGATTTGACCATACAACTTCAAACCGTTTGTTTGGGCTTCCTATGCTCTACTGTATATTTACTTCTCAGGCATATCAAAAAAGACTCTCAGTTCTTTTGCATCCATTGCATTCTGCCGTTTTAATGGTGGATACAGATTTTTATCTAGTTCGTCGTCAGAGACAATAATTTCGGTGTCTTCACCGCTGTCGTGATCGTGCTCCGTTCTTTTTTTCTTATTTTTGTCTTTTCTTCTCTTCTGTCTTTTTCTTTTCTTTGGTTTCTTCACCTCTTGGTTGGCATCCAGATCAAGGACACATTTCTGAGCTACATAGTTCAAATAAATTTCCTTTGACTTTATATTGAAAAAACGTATCCTTTAGAAGCAGCCACGATTATAAGATTTTACATTTAAATACTTGCACATGTAAGTTGCTTGGTATAGGTTGCCGTATTTTCGGATAGACATATGTGTATGGTGAGACCCAAGCGAAATGGTTAAAATCTAATCCACACCACAAAATTAAAATAGAACCACTTTTGTATCATCTTACCAGAATATTTCTGGCTCTTGTTTATAGCGCGAGGCTGCGAAATGAGTTTGTTGTGAAATATCCATGTCTACATAATATGTTATGTGTACCTTGTTCTTGTTCACATTTCTCCTCCATTATCACTAAATAATAGTGGCCAAATATCCCCAATGGTGTTGTGTTCTTACTGTATTTTGTGTTGTATTGTGCGCGTATCCCTATGGTTTTATTAGGGATTAAAGATTATCATGATATCATATATCATATATCATACCTAAAATATTTTACCTGAGGCTATATATACAGTAGGTGAATACACATATATGGGTAAAACCATGCAGAAAACCTTTCCAGACGTAATAGTATACATGAAAACAATTCTCAATTCTGGTTGGCAATTTTTTCAAAATTCAGTGCCATTAATATGATCTTGTCATACTCATAAATGATTTTGTTAAAATTTTTTTTCACTAACAGGATTTTGCTGACATATACTTCAACTGTATTTCTTCTAATAACCCTGTTGAACTGGAGACATGTGGATCTAGGGTAAGTCATTTTCTGTTGTATGGATATTAATGGAAAGTGGTAGTATATAATGATATCAATTACAACATAGTAATTCTTTGAGAAACTCTTTTGAATGCTTTTAATTTAAATTTCAGATCCGACGCTGGATAACACTGTTTCTTACCTTGCAACACCATAGAAAGGGCTATGCAAATAAAAATATTACACCTTATATGCACGCAGCAGCATATTATATCCAGGATGTTCTCGACAAATTCAAGAATTTGAAACAGTTCAGTGGACAAGGTATGTTTGTATCATACCAATATGAGATATTGTATTTTATATTTTTTGCACTTTCTTTACAGGTGTAGAGAAAAACAACGATGTTGCCAGAAGTATAGTCCTTCGTAAGTCAAACAATTTTGACAGCCCTGCAGAGGTGATACGAGCGGAGCACAGAGTTAACACTCTGCACAAGAGAGAAAGAAGGAAAAGAGGATACAAAAAAGTTGCAACTGAGTTTTGGAATGGCGGGAAGCAAGAGGCCAGTAAAAATAAAAAACAGAAGTGCATAAGCATACAAAAGCCGGATGTTTCAAATAAAATTGGAGAAGATAACAGCAGCATACCAGAGCAACCTGCAAATGTGCAACAAAGAAATGTGCAAAAAGGAGCAAAAAAGGCAAAGAAAAGAAAGCAAACAAAGAAAAGATAGCTCCCACATGTATATAGGTGTATAAAATTATAAACTGAATTCTGTAAATATTCAATGTGTTCTCTGTTGCCTTCGTCCCCCCCCCCTAGCTTCTACCACCCTCGCCATCCCCCCTGTTCTGTATATATTATATGACAACAAAAAGGATGGCAACCTAAAGCACAAAAAGAGACATTGATGAAAACATAATAGACTAGCAGGGCCCGCGGAGCGTATTAGAGAGTGGGGGGGCTAAATCATCAATAAAACCCCCAATTAATTAATTTAGAAAGTTTCATTTAGATTTCTATTTTAATAATTTTGGCTGTCAAAAAAAGTGGGGGGGGGGGGCTAAAGCCCCCCCGTCTCCGCGGTCCCTGACTAGCCGATATCTTGGTTCCCACCACAACATGTTTTTGACAGATCAGGAAATTACATCACCAGGGTCTGATATGGAGAAAATGTTAATGGACTAATCACTGTAATGGTCAATGGAGTAAAAACCATTACATAGACAAATTAAGATATTAAAGTAGAGTGCACCAGAATTTATTTTGGCTGATGGATAATTAAATACTTCCTCATGCAGCTACTTTAATAAAATCCATTGACATTTTCTCCAGATAAGACCTAGGTGATGGAACAACATTTCCTGATGTTTCAACAATGTGTTGTGTTGGTGACCAAGATATAAAATGTCTAACTTTTACAGGAAAATGCAGCTTAGTTCCTTGACCATGATGGTCAAGCAAATTATTCCAGTCATTTGAAAAAAAAGTCTCCTCAAAATCTTTTTTCTCTAGCAGAAACCAGAGTCCATGTTTTGTCCCCTTTCCCATAAACAAAAAGGAAAAAACATCCTGACGGAACTCCACGGTCATTCGTGATCTTGTCCGTGGGTTGTTTAGTGACTGGTGAACAGCCACTCTGAGCCGACTGACTTCGTTCAACACAACATTCCTGGGAGGGGTTGGTTCATTGAAGTACCTGTCAAAAACCAGGGTTAAATTACATAAATTTATGAACAACATATTCAAAATGTAAAGCAACTTAACCTGTAATGCATGCAAACTGTTTAACAGTACTCTTAACTAATAAGGCTAACATGTTATTTGGAGTAAAATTAGTGGAAGGAATATCAAGATGTATGAACAATTGTTGAGGGAGAGCGAATTTAAGTGGATAATTATTGTGATGTTAGGTGCTACTCCGAATTACGAGCAGTACCAGACAAGTGGAGAAAACCCCACTCAAGTGGCTCGGCTGGGATTCGAAACCATGACCTTCAGTTTACCAGTCCGATGCTTTACCAACTGAGCTGCAGGTCAAGTTGGGAACAGATAGTTGAATCATGGTACTACAAGGGTTTTTGATATTTCGAAACTGAATCTAGTTTCTTCGATATCGAGACTTGTGGGTTCGAATCCCAGCCAGGCCATGTAGAGTTTTCTTGATTTGTCCTGTATGGCTCGTAACTCGGAGTAGCACATAACATAACAATTATCAAGATGTTTATTTTATAAATACTTGCCTAATACATTCCTCCGTCAGATGTTCCAGTGGCTCCCACGTCGACTCAAATGAGCTGTAACCCAGCCACTTTACCAGAAATTCTTTACCCTTAAATTTGAAATAAATTACAATATGAAATGTAATATATTTGCCGGTTGAACCAAACACCAAAGAGTATACATATTTTTTATATATTAACAATATACAATTTATACAGTTATACTTACCTCTTTCGATGTTCGACTGGCGATAACTCTTTCCACCGAATAGAGTTGGCCGCCTCCTAGTGTCTTCCTCGTTCTCTTTCTGGGGAGGTAGAAATCTGCCGTAGATTGCGTATTTAACGCACAAAAAAACCCAGGGCTATGTATGGTTCTCTTTATAGCGCTCTTAGGAGCGGCCGCCATCTTGAAAATTTTCAATAATACTTCATGTATGTCCCATGAGAACGACAAAATTAGCTCCTCCCACTTATGTCCACAATTTCTCGCCATGTGCTTACGCCAGCAGTTCTGTATAGTTTTTTCTTGGGGGGGGGATTAAAAATCTCGTACTCGATGTAGTACTTTCGGTAGTGTAACAGCATTTTTATTATTCTTGCTTGCATTAATTGTAGATATGATTGAACGCCAGTCTCGGAATGTGGAGTGGGCTATCATAGATAAAGGTCCATTTCAATTGCACCCTTCCTTAAATAATTTTATCCTTCCTGCTGAAGTATGGCTTTCAATGGAAGTCAATGAGAAAGAATCTTATATAAAAAGGGTTATGAGCAGTTCTGTAACAGATACTGTTTCGGAAGATTACCAGGAGACTGCTTGTTTCCCAAGCAAACTTATTCCAGAAGGTCTTCCACCAGAACCTTTCCCAGACGATATTTCAACCGAACCTATCCCAGATGATTTTCCAACAGAATTTGACCAAGTACATTTTCTATCTCCTCTTGATGTTCTGGCAAATGCTGCATTATCCGATTCAGTCCAAGATACTACAGGGGCACGTGTGTCAAATATGTCTCTGACATTTTCTGAATTCCGTGTCTACCTTCATGGACAGCCCCAAGAAACGGTGAGGGGTATGTGGGATAAAGCAGTACAACTTGTTTCATCGCCAGGAAAGATGTCACCTGCCCCAGGTTGCGCCCCAACCTCGAGAATGGTAGCAAGCCATCGGTTCAAGGACCGGCCACATCTCGTCACGAAGGGGAAGGCAAAAGATGAATGCAAATGCGAAAAAAGCTGTCCTCACTGGAATGGGATAAAGATCTGCTCCCATACCATCGCTGCGGCTGAATCGAATGGAGATTTATCGAAATTTCTCATGTGGTACAAGCAGAAAAGAAGTACCAAAGCAGCAAATTTGTCCGCGGTTGTGCGTACAGACATGCCACAACATCCCGGAAGAAAAGGCGGTGTACCTGTTACATCAAGAAGAGCAACTCCTAAACTACCCGTTGATGCACGACGAAAGCGCACATACAGTAAATCTACTGAAAGTTCGTCTATTGTAACAGAGGTACCAAATACAAACCCATTCTACGTTAAAAAGATGAACATTCGAATTGAAGTATGCCAAGGATGCAGGGGTCCTCTGAAGTCGGTAGGGAAAGAAATTCAGCCCCCGCCGTTCGATTACTGTATTGCGAGGAGGGAAAGACGACCATACAGGGGTGACAATGGCCAACTGAAAACTCCATCCCGACAGTCAGATGCACATTATCACCTGCGAGCAGCATGCGTTAAAGCTGCAGAACCGTCATTTGTAACATCTTCTCTTGTGATACCTGACGACATCCAGCTAACAGAAGTTCATGAATGCTATCTCGTCCATGAGTTTGGGCTCAATTTCGTTGCGAGATAGAGACATCGAATTCAAGACTTTGTTATAACATATATGACATTTGGCTGACATATGACAATATATCCTTTACAGAATAAAATAGGGATTTTTACTTGTTGTTTACGTTACGTTGTGACACAACGTTGTTGTGTTATGTTATGTTTCAGTGACCTACTCAGTAGGCTACTCTGTAGGCTTACAGTAGGCTACTGTAATATTGTCGGTTTCAGGTCACTTTTCAAAACGCGGTTCCGGTTTGTTGTGAATATTCACATTCAGCTTTTTAAATTTGGAATATTGAGCGTGGAATTACAATTTAAGTTGCTTACTCAAATACCGAAGTACTGAACTGGAATACCGACGTAGCGATCTTAAACTCGTAATTTGCAGTGTTTTACTTATATAGCCAACGAATTAAACGTATTTCTCAAGACTTAATAAATAATTGGGAATTACCAACAAACAAACTAGGGAACCACGCTTTGAGAGGTGATCTGAAATCCACAATAAGTGTATTGTTTACATTTACTTAATTCAAATTCACGTCGAGACTTTAATTTAAATTAATCAGCGAATCCTGGTAGAATAACTGGGATATTAGTTTTATTCACACGAATATATGTATTCCTTCGAGGAAAACAACTTATGAGATGTCTCACAAGAAAATGTTTAGCAACAACTCGTAATGCAAGTCGTTGCCGACCCAATCGAATTTCAAGTAACACCATTTCATGGTGAAACGTCGCCAAACATTGTCTTGTGGGACATCGCGTTATTAAGTGTTTGTGTGCGTTTGATATCCTTGTAAATAAGGTCTACTAAACTGCCGCATTGAATAATACTGTATATATATTGACATTTTTTATTCATGTTTAAACGCCTTAAATAAAAAATTCTTTATGGATTTGAAATATTTTTTTAAATTGTCCTTCAAAAGTAAAAATGCTATTCCGGTGTTCCGGCATTCAGGTGTTCCGGTATTCCGG